ACATAATTGAAAAAGGTTTTAAATTTTAAGCCTAGTGCTAAAAATAAGAACTTAGACATCTAGAGAACCTAATAGATTAATCTAAATATTTATCTGTGGTCTAAACCTAACTTAGAGAGATTTGCAGATGTATATAGATATAATTTATAATACAAATATAGTATACCAACTTCTAATAAAAGTTTACTATACATTGGCAATTTTGCAGTAAAAAATATATATATATATCTTTTATACTTAATTTAAGACACTCTATTACTAGATATACATAACTATTTACATACTCACCTTAAAAGAAATAGGTTTCAATTTTATACTCTCCTCTTTAACAAAATTTTAATATAGTTTAACTAAGCAATCCGGCAAACAAGAAATATTTACTAATATGAATAGAAACTCTGAAGAGATATTACTCTCAAAACCAAAAAACTAAAACCACTTTTTCAAATATTATAAACTAATCAAAAAGGCCAATATTATATAATAATAATTTTACTTATTATATTTAAAATTAGCTAATTCAAAACTATTCAATCTACTCTATATATATACTTTTATTTTTATGTTAAAATTATTTTTACTTTATTTTATTTTTATTTTTTATTATTTATAGAAAGATTTATCTAAACTAATAATAATTTGTTCTAGCTTTTATATTTTGTACCAGCAAACAAAATAGCTTATTACTAGTTAAAATAGAAAATTCAGAGGTATTATTTTGCGCAATTGTGTAGTTATAAGAAATAATACTAATAGATTCTACATAATAATAATATATACTATTATGTAGTTAGCTTAGCTTTTTATATAATATTAATAAATAAATAAATAAAAGAAATTTATATTAAGAAAAGTAAAACTGTGAAACATTTAAAACTTGGTAAATGTAAATTAACTTCACTAGGCTAACTAAATTAAATATTTAAAAACTAAAGATACAATTTATAAAAAAGACAGAAAGTGACTACTGGGTTTAAATACAAAAGCAAAAGTAAATAATAGTAGAAGATTAATAGTTAGCCCTAGGCATTAAGTAATATTATACACAAATTACTAAAGTCTAGATAAATATAAATATATAAAACATGTATTACATATACCGTTAAATCTCCCAATATTGATCCTCTCAAAATGGATAACCTGTCAAAATTAATCTTTCCGTTATATAATCTAATAGTTTATTGATAACTTCTCAATACTGATATAATATCTGTTCACCGTGCATATCGGTTTAAGGAGGCTCAACAGTAATTATAATAATACAAGTACTGTATAGACACGGAATAACGCACAGGGGCGTTATTTCAAATTTCGGCCCGAATTAAGCTTAATTTAGGCCGAAAATTGAAATCACACCCCTACGCATTATTCCGAGTCTATACGGTAACTTCGATATATGAAAGATTTTGCGAGTCCCAATTAAAAATTTTAGAATCTCAATATAGTCTAGACCCGTCAACTTTTCAGATATTTAAATATCTATTCACCATTCATTAATTTATGCTGTATTGATAGGTCACATTTATTTAGTCTCTTATTAACAAAGATTTAAGAAAATCCAATAATCTCTCATTAATTTCTTTTATTTCTCAACAAATTATTTTTCATACAATCCTTGATTTATCCAGTGAGTATTAAATACCCATTAGTCAAGGTATTTGCATATATAAAGTCGTGGATGTTAATATTCACTTATTAGGTATAAACATGCCGCACAAACTATAAACTCTTAAATCCAATCAAATCCCAAACATAGTAAAATTGCCTCAAATCCCAAATTAGAATAAAATCGGGATTTGGGATTGGGATGATGAGTAGTTTTTGCGGCAGGTATAATTAGGTATACAAAGATTCTAACTAGTTAGCATTATATTATTTCGCAAATTTTATTTTATCTGTTTTAATTTTTTAGGTTCAAAGTTAATTAATATTTCATTAACGAATACAAGCTATCCAATTCGGAATATTTTATTTCATTAAACGATATAGAACAGCTCTTGTAATAGTATTTGTCAATTTTTTTTAAAACAATTAAAAAAAAAAGTACTAAGACGCTAGTAATCTTATATAGGATTTTGGCTAATGTGAGAATAGAGTAGATAAAACTTTACCAAAGTTACGTACATATGTATACACTTGTTGCAAGAATTACGTAATGCATGAAAACTATTGAGTGAAAATTTACGTGCTATATGTTATATACTGAATTAAGTATACTCACACAACAAACGAATGATATTATAGGCCAGAATTGACTCTATTGACACAGCATGACCGGCATTAACCTGGAATGAGAATTAATGTATTGCAGAATTAGGCCCCGTGCGTGCTGTGCCAGTATATTTTTCTTTTTTTTCAAGAGCTTCATATATTTGCACCCAATCTTCCGAAGATATAATGTTCCAATATTTAGAATTATCTGCAAGAGTTTTCATCCAGTCACTGATATTATTACGGTAAATAACATCCCCATCATTATTAAGAAAATATAAAGTATTAACATCTTTAAATTCATTATTCCATGTTTCTAAAAGCTGTTCAATTTTTTGATGTGCTTTAGGATCATTATATTTGAGATCTAACCGTTGTGTTGGAAAATCCAGAGGGTGATTATTTGATATATATTTTTTTGACAAAATTCCGCCTAAAGTAAAAGTTCTTGGTAACAATTGCCCATAATCTTCACCAAATAACTTGCAAAAATTTTTAGGTGGTTCATGACCTTGAGGTTTAGAATTAATTGTATTTAAAAAATCTTGTAAATATACAATGTCCGATAGGTCAAAGGAAATCTTTACAGTATGAAAAATTATTTGGCAATAAATTGCATTCGAAAATTGCTTTTTAGAGTTCTTAAAATCCTCCAAAGGAATATTAAGCATTGAACTATGCTCAGTAAAAGGGATTTTATCAAGTTCTAATCCATCTTTCTCCTTTAAAATAATACCATTCTCTAATAAATAAGTTTCTTGACGAGTTTTAGGTTGCGTTAAGATGATAGTAATTTTATTTATTTGTGTTATTTTAGGTTCTTTTAAAAATTTAAATGCAGCTTTCTTAGCTCGTCCTGGTTTTGAACGCTGTAAAATTATGCCATATTGTAATGAATTATCTTGGATCAAATCACATATATATAGCTTTAATGGAAGCTCTGGCGAAGTTATCCACTCTAAAAGACTTTTTTTATCATGAAAGCGAAAATTTGAAGCTTGCACTGGATAAGATCCATCAATGAGTTTAATGTCAAAATATCCTGATATTTTTTGAATTAAGTCTTCTGGCAATAATTGATATGTTGGTGTGAATTTTTCAAATGATATAATTTCTAAATATTTATAGTTATGTAGGTCTTTGATCCATTTGTATAACTCTTCGGCATTATGCACATTTTTTGAATTTATGACTATATTCAAATCATCAATCGGTGCATCTTCAAAGTTTTTTAATCTTATACCTTTAGCATAATCAATGCTCCATTGTAGATAAGCCTTCAAACGCAATTTACATATATCATCAATTTTAGACCAATTTTTAATTGTAATCACTCCACCAATAATCGCTGAAGTAACTACGTAATTACCATAATGATTAAATTTTTCTTTTAACATCAGAGTTTTCTTAGCTGTATCGGAAATATCAAGCATATCTCTGATATTCTGAACAAATTCTGTTGACGCATCACATTGATAATGTAAAGTTAAGATTGGAATATGGATTTGTACATTATTATGTTCTGTTTCAATCCAATTATCACGTTCTTTTTCTATTACATTATCATGTTCCACTTCTGTCACATTATTATGTTCTGCTTCTTTCATATTGTTTTTAGGCAAATAGATAATTGGAATTGGCTGACTTATTTTTTCTTTTTTTAAAATTCCATTGTTTCCTAAAACAGCCTCTGTTTCAAGGATTTCATCCTGATTAATTAAATTTATACCTTTATTCAAACCAAACTGATCAATAAATAGTTCATGCTTAATAAACGTAATATTCTCTGTTTGAAGTCTGTCAAGTTCATCTAAAACAAAGTCTAGTGTTGGACGCTGGTTTGGTTCGAAAGACCAACATTTCTTATAGAGATTAACGTAATTTAAGGGCGTATTTATAACAGTTTTTTCTCGTAAACCTTTTGCAATATGTACGCCTAGAATTAATTTATTTTGGAAATTAGAATATGGAGGAGTTCCACTTGTGAGTTCCCAGAATAATACACCTAAACTATATATATCTGATCTTTTATCACGATTGATGCTTGGACACTGAGTAAAACATTGCGGTTCGATGTATGCTATCATGCCAACTAAAGCAGAATTTAGAGTGATAGAATCATTCAACTCTTGTGAATATCCAAAGTCAGCGATTAGTGCATTACCATCATTAATCAAAATATTTTTGGAATGCTAGAATTTTATAAATAATTTAGTAATTTTGGATTTTAAAATTTGTTATGTCAAAAAGAAAAATATACCAGATCCCGATGAATAATATCTTTGTCATGTAAATATTTCAACCCGCTAGTAATATCCTTTGCTATTTTGATTAGTTCAGTCCATGAAATTTTATAAAGACCCATTTGCTGTTTTCTTGCCAAATGATCTTGTAAATTTCCACCGTTAGCCAATTGTAAAACAAGCATAATATTTTCAACATTGTCTTTTTTTTCTAGTGCATAAAAATAGACATATGAGAATGAGGTTTAAACTAAGATTAAACTTCCTCTTGCATACCTCTCATTATACCGTAGAATTTTATAACATTTGGATGATTAACTTTATGAAGTTTAATCTATAGATAAATATATGTCATTATATCTCTGTTCTTTAGGTATAATGTTAAGAAACGCACAGTATCGCATGCAGCTCACCTCACGTCTTAATAGTCTAAAGGATTTATCATCATAACTCATATTATTGTTTAGGAACTTTAATGCATATTGCTTTCCTTGATAAATGATAGAGTACACAAAAGAAAAGCCACCATGTGCAATCGGATTACGGTGTTCACATTTTGAGTAATCAAATTCTTTTATATTGAGTTGCTTTAAAAGCCTTTCTACTTGTTGAGAATAATTGTTCACTAATAGTTCACGTTCTGCCATCCTTGATAGAAATAAATGAATTTTTTAAATCGGTTTATATTCAACATAAGATCACCATTCATTTGCATAACCTTAAATAAGTTTTTCATTATGTTATGAATGAGCTTATTGTCATTTTATGTACGTATAAGGAATGTGAGTGGAATTAACCTACGTATTACTGAATGATTACCTTATTACTAAATATGGATACGATTTTCAAACGAAAATGGTGATAATTTTTATTGATGTTTATTTTGTGCTCACGACAATTCGGAAAGTAGCCGATTTCTATGCATCAAGTGACCAAAAGGTTACTTTTTTGATGCATTCGCATAAATTTTATGAAGATCAGGAATTTAATGTCCGCGTGTTTAAATTTTTTTGTGTAATATGATCATCATATGATAGAGTTCTTGGTATGATAAAAAAATTTGGCATGCCAGGTGGCATACCAAGTTTTAAATTTCATGCCACATTGGGTGTGCTGTATACTATGTAAATCAAAACTACATATGATCATATACAGTCAACTCTCTCTAAGTGCAACTCCTTTAAGTGCAACTTCTCTCTAAATGCGACTTTAACTTCGGGCCCAAGTATATGTTTGGTATATATTCGTCTCTATAGATGCAAATTGTTTTCTAAATGCTTGTTGCTAAAAGTCCGGTCCCAATGAATTGCACTTAGAGTTGATTGTAATAAATTTTTTTTAGGTAGATAATAATTTTATATGGGATCTTTGCTATTAAAATGGCCCTCTGAGGCTATGTTGATTTCGTGAATAAAAATCAAATTTGCCAGCCATCTAGTAATCCATTGACATCGGACTTTTCGGAAATTATTATAAATTTTTCATCTCAACAAGCCTAAAATTTTAGTGAACCTAGAAACAGATGTGTTACAGCGATCCTTATATAATTTTGATCGAAGGTTCTCAATAATTACGTGCACTCCACTAACATTGATCACTAGAATTTCAATACGTAATCAAATTATTCTATGAAAATATAGTGTTACTATTGTTGGGAGAGCAATTGCGGAGAAGCGATTCGATTTAGCTCCAATAGTAAACGTGAAGGGTT